AAAAATATATTCAGTCCAGGCCTCTCTTGACCCCAAGCCTGCCCTGCAGGATCTGCAGGGGTTGGGGGGCTGTAGACGGTAGAGAATAGGAAGTGATGCTCTGAAATGGAGCAGGGAGGGGGCTGGGGACACTGGGAAGCTGGCAGCCTGTGGCTAGCCTGGCGGCTGCGCTGGGTTCAGGGAGCAGAGTACCTGAGGCCTCTGCTTTGCAGGCACCGACTCCTGCATCCAGCCTTGTCCTGAATTCTATTTGTCCACAAATTGGAGTAACTGAAGAATTTCCTTAGGGAGGATATTAGAGGGGGCAGTGGGGCAGGGAGGGGAACTCTACAAAGTGTGGAACACCCTGAAGGCCAAGTGAGGCTGGCCTGAGTTCACATCCAGCTGTGCCACTGCTGGTGCTCTCCAGCACGTGTCTTAACCTCTCTGGGCATCACTTTCCCTATCTGTTAGTTGGGGATAACAGCACCTGCCGCCTAGGGCAGGATGAAGATGAGATAGTCTGGAGGGGCTTGGCAGTGGGTGCTCCAGCGTCTCAGTGATAGCACTGTTGATGGTGAAAAACAGGGGGCAACCCCTCTGGACCAAGGTGGGCAGGTAAGTTTGAAGTCAATGCGCTGGATGAGATAAGCCTGAGAGACCCCTGCACTGGAGGCCAGTGGCACCCTCAAATGGACTGGGCAGGGCCTGGGTGGGTACAGGGAGACCCACTGAGGCTTCTGGTGACCTGGGCCGTACTGCTTGCAGTGAAGCATCATTTTAAGTTGTGGCGGGGTGGAGGCTACTGGGAAGGTGGAAAAGGTCGTGCTGGAGGTATAGCACCCTTATCGCTCCTACCCAGCTGGGCTCAGCACACTGGCTGGGCCACCTTTGGCCTGGTCCCGTCTTTGCCTGGGACATGTCCCCAGTCAGACAGTCTGAAACGCTGAGGCCTCCTTGCTGTCACCTTCCTCTAGAGGTGCTTTATCAGTCCCGGGCCTCTCCAAACCCAAGCCCACTGACTTCAGTCAACTGATGGGGTGGAAAGAGACATGGATTTTGAGTCAGAGACCTTTGATTTCAGGGGAGTCACCAGGCCTCAGTTTTTCTCAGCTGTAAAATGGGCTAGTTCTGTTCCTACTTCTGTGAATGTTATAAAGAATTTTGTGGATTGCAAAGCAATCTACAAATGCCCACAATTAAGGTATTATCATCTGGATTCCACATCTCCAGCCTTCCTTGGTCTGTATCCGCTGCCCTGAGTCCAGGTCCCAGGGTGTCAGTCGGGTCCCAGTCTGGGTCTCATTGGCAGCAGGGGTACTGAGGAGGCCAGGAGGGGAAGCCAAGGACCCCAAAGCAGGGGCTGTGCTGTCACGCTCAGGGAGGTGGCAGAGCCCGAAGTAGAAGACCCAAACTCCAAGAGTGGTTCCCCCTCATTGGTCATCTGAGCCCATGAGGGAGGGGCCACAGAGAAAAGGGCTCAGCTGGGCAGAGTTTAGGAACTGCAGCCTCCGGGTGTGGCATGGAGAAAAATTCTTCCCAGCTTGAGAGAGGGGCCTGTCCTGCAGTGACCCTCACCCTGCAGCTGCCCAGCCCCTTCCTACAGTGTGGCCTGTCACACCCCCCACAGCCCCAAACCTGCCCACCCACCCATGAGCCTGCCTTGATCCTGGCGTTGGAGCCTGCAGAAGGTTTAAATGTGGCACACCTGCCCTTGGCAGGAAGCACTGTATATCTTTACAGCCAAGATGCTCCCAGCTGTGCCCCCAGCAGCCCCTCCACCCTTACAGTCTCTGGATGAGGGGTGGGGGATCCTGAAGCTTATCTTGACCAGCCCCTGCCTGCCCAGGGACCCCCTGCAGCTTCTCTGATGACTGCCAGCCGCGCGTTGGATGTCCTTCCACAGACTTCCAGAGCCGGCAGCTCTGAGCTTTGCTGTTGGTTGCTACGTCTGTGCTGGGAAGCCACTCACCTCTCCTCCTCACACATGGCTGAGCACATGGGAGGGGTGCCAAGGGTGCCCATCAGCTAAAACAGCCAGGAGGCACAAGCAGGAAAGGGGGCAGTGCCTCAGCTTGGTCCCTTCAAGATCCCTTGTCTATGCCACCCCCCCCAGAGTCCTCCCAGCCCCTCAGGCTCTTCCATCCTTGGGATGGCCCTGCCCCCAACATCCTGGCATTGTCCATGAAAAGCCTTGCTTTCTCACTTCTTCAGTGGGTGAAAGGCAGCATTGAGAGAGAGGCCTCAGTAATAGCCACTTCAGACTCAACAGTCACTTCTGGTGCCTCGTGTCAGCCAGGACCCTTTATGCGGCTCCCCCCACCCCAGTTGCTCTGGAAGGTGTCAGCCTGTCTCCATCCTGGTGCCCCCTAATCTCCTCCCAGCTGCCTCTGCTCAGCTGGTCCCATCTCTCTAATTAAGGGGACAGCACTTGGGGAGTTGGCAGAACAGGAAATCCCCCCGTAGAGCAGGGACACCCCGGGCTCCTCCCTCAGGGAGGGCCAGACCCTCCATCATCAGACCTCAAATCCCCCATCAGGAGCTTCCGGGGTCCCAGCACCACAGTCATCTCAGTCTGCCCGGTGTCCTGACACCACATGCTCCACTTGGGTGGGTGTCCCCACGCGTGTAAACACACACACACACACACACACAGACAGACCCTTGCATGGCCCTCCTTCTAGGTTACTCAGAGGCAAGGCCCGGGGCCTGAATGTGTTGGGTGGAGTTTGTGTGTCCTGACCACCTCCTGCCCTGAGGACACGCACACGCTGTGCCAGGTGCTCTCTCTGTCTTCGCTCCTTGTGGCCCACACAGCTGCTCCTGGGAGGTGGTAGATACACACCCCTTGCCCCTCAGGTGGGATGAGGCAAGCGTGGGTCCCACCTGGTTTCTCCAGCTTTTGCAACAGGACTAAGAGCCAACCGCCCACAGTGGCCGAGGTGTGTGCGCCCCATCCTTCCTCGCTGCCATCCTTTCCTGGCCCCTCCCTGCTCCCTGTGTGCCCCTACCCTGGAGTTTGTTCCTGAAGCCTTGTCTGTTTCTGGGGATCCCATGCTAAGTCAGCATTCAAGCCTGTTCAGCCTCCCCTGCTTCCTAACTCCTTCCTGTTTCCGGCTCAGTTCCTTCCCTGGGGCTGGGACACACTGCTGTCTGCTCCCACTGCCACACCTTTGCTCAAGCCATGCCCACCCGTGGTGTCCCGCACCTGCACCCTTCGCTCTGGCACTTCTCCCTCCAACTAGCCCACTTACAGGAGCTGTCCTTATTGACTGGACCCCCAGGCCCACCCCTCTCCCAAGTCCTGTCCCAGACCTCAGCGGCGTCCCTGGCGCCCCATCCTTGGTGATGTGTGAGTGCCATTGGGTTCCCCAGCCACACAGCAATCCTAAAGGCTGAAAGTGGCCTCCGTTTCTTTGTGGCACCCTCCCTACACAGCCCTGGCACATTCTAGGCCTTCACAAGTGCTTATTGAAAGATACATATTATTATCTACACCAACCACCTCCATCTCCCAGCCCCACTCTCCCAAAGCCCCGCTCTGGGTCCAGTGTAAGCAGTCAGCTGGCTGGTTGACTCAAGAGCTGCTTGTCCTGCTCTGGGGAACTCAGGGCAGAGAGGGGCCGAGCGTCCAGCCCCTTCCACCTTTGTTTAGTTAATGATGCTGTCCCAGAGAGTACCCAAGGGCCACAAGATCCCTGTGACCAGCAGAGGGGTTGCCCCATGAGGCCAGGGTCACTGAAGCCAGCAGGCTGGATGGCCCCAAGTAGTCTCTGTCCCTACAAAGGGAGGCTGGCTTTGGCTGGGGACACACTGGCTTTTGCTCAAGGACATTCCATCACCCTCCCATCTCCCCATTTTCTCACAAAGGGGGAGACACCGGGGGTAGGAGGTAAAGGAGGGAGAGCCCACATTGGTGGTGGGATGTGAAGGTCTAAGGGTGCAAGGCAGCGAGGCAGGGCATTTCTGGTGGCAGTGCCAGGGGATCAGATGAACTTCTGGTGGCTTGGGAGGATTTCAGTGATGTGGCCTGATATCCGATGACGCCATCCGATTTCTGACAATGTCTCCAGGGCTTCTGACAACGGCCTTGGTTCCCAGTGGTGTTGGAAGGCATTGCTAAGGCCCGGAGGCATTATCATGGTGGCTCGGATGCTGTCACAAGTTTCCCATGATACCTCTGGGGCAGCGAATGCCCCCCTCCACGGTCACTGAGGACAGCCCCCGGTCTCCAGTGCGTTTCCATCTTGCGCTCTAGGAAAAGACACCTCTTGGAGGGACCCACATGCTGCTTTGGAGTCCCCGCACTCCACCTCCCTCTGTTTCCGTTCCATCTTCCAGGGAGGACTGGGACGAAGGGAAACCAGAGGGCCTGGGCCCAGCCCAGTCCTATAGGTTATTTTCCATTCACTCCCTGGCCCAGACTGCTCTCACAGGCCTAGAACTCCTGCTCAGCTGGGGGTCGGGACGGAGCCTCCCAGGCTCACAGTGCCAGCTGCTCCGGGGAGGTAAAGGGTGTGGGGAGGAGCTGGTCCCCTCCACAGACAGGGCAGCCAGCTGAGCCTGGCGACAACCTTCCCAAGCACAGATCCCAGAGGGCGCTCCACGGCCCTCCAGCTCAGACTGCCGTGGACTGCTTGATGCTGTGAAAGCTGACGCGGGTGGGGGAGGTGGGGATGGACATGGCGCGGGCCACGCGGGCGCGGATCGAGTGCTTGTCCTGCCATCGGTGCCACCTCTTCCGGATGGCGGAGCGGACCTGTGGGCATAGAGCAGAGCATAACATCTGAGCCCAGGTCTCAGGATCGCCCCACCAAGGGCTGCCACAAGCAGCTATACAGGTGAGCAGTGCACAGGTATGAGGTGCACAGGGGGCCACATAGGAGGTGACAACATTCACCTCATCAACACTATTGATTTGCATACTTGTTAGGACAATTTTCTCAAGTGTTCTGAGGAAAGGGTGCCTTTTTCGAATCCACCCAAAGGTACCATATGGCATTTACCATGAAGAATCTCTGCCCTCAACCCACACACATCCCTGCCCCAGAACTCAGCTTCCTGGGTTTCAACAACCCATTTCACAGACTCATTGAAGAGACTGGAGCCCTGGCTGGTAGTTCCCCCATGCCCACTGCCTACAAGAGCAAAGAGGTGGGCTTGCCACTGCGGGAGCTGCGTGGGGAGGTGGCAGGGACCCTCCTGGGGTTCCCAGCAGCATCTCCATAGGGACCTGGGAGCAGGGAGGAGACAACTGGTATGCGGAGGGCAGGAGGCGGCTATAGACAATCTCTGGTCCCAACAGGCCTCCTGCCGTCCTGAGTCCTGGGGCCCTGGGTCCTTACCTCGCTGTTGAGGAAACAGTAGAACACAGACACGAAGAAACCCTGGGGTGGAGGGAGAAGGTGGGTCAAGGGACTGGGGCAGGTGTGGCCCCACCCAGCCTCTGGGGCTACTCCTTTCTGTCCCCAGCCTCCTGTGCCTTCCAGGCCTCCACCTGTGAACACCCCCACCTGGAGAGGAGCAGGGGATAGCCAGGGCTGGAGTGAGGGGAGGGTGGCTGTACCTGGAAGGATTCCAGGAAGGAGTTGAAGTAGATGAAGACGACCCGGGAGACCTCGTCCTCCCCAGGGTTCACGAAGAACAGCATGTATGTGATGCCCAGGAGGGGAAGCAGCACCAGAGTGGCCTTCACAGCCTTCCTGGGGTGGGGTGGGTGCACCCAGAGTCACAACCCACCCCAGGAAGGGGCTGGGCCTCTGCCTTGGTGTAAAGGACCGGGGCTGGGGGAGGGCTGGGGCAGATGCCAGGAATGTCTGAGACACGGGGAGCTGGGGTTTCAGGAGGGACTCTCAGGCCTGGGGGGAAACCCTGAGCAGAGGCTGGGATCTCTGAAGCCCCTATGGGTGGGGGAAGCAGGTCTGGTTACCTGTACTGAATAGTCTCAGATGTGGTGGATGCCCGGAGTTTGGTCATGAGGATGCGGACGATGTTGAAAAGGAAGATAAAATTGATCTGTAATTTGAGCACACAGTGGGGTGGCCTGGGCACGGATGTGTGCGAGATGTTGGAGGGAATGTGAGGGGACAGGTCAGGCACTCAGCTGTCTCAGCTCTGGCCTCCGGCCCCTGCTGCTCGCCCTCTACCTTCATTAGCCCTTGTACATTCCTGGCTCCACGCCCCCCACCTCTGGGCAAAGGGATCCTTTCAGGCCACTGATTGCCTCTTCCCACCAAGCCACTCTCTCCTGCCCTCTACCCAGGTTCTTACCAGCAGGACCAAGATCATGGGGCCCTGGTAGATGTAGTCGGTGTACACCCCAGGCCTTTTGCCAAACCAGCACCTAGAAGGCCGCAGAGGTAAGAGGAAAATGGTCATCTGGGTCCGGTGGCACAGGTGAGGAGAAGTGCTTGGCCAAAGCAGGACTGGGGCCAAAAGCCACGACTGGCTGCCCTAATTCCAACCCTGGCAGAAGGTCAAGATCCTACCACAATGCCTCAGTTATTCCATCTGCAGAATGGACAGCATCTTTTGAGATGTAAAGCTGGAAGCAGGCACTGTGGCAGGGAGGGGGATTGTGCAAAAGACCATTGAAGAGAACAAATATGGGCCCAACACACCACTGCTCCCCTTGGGCCCAACTGTGGCTCTGGCACATGCCCTCTAGTGGTGCCTTGCCCTGCACCTGTCACGTAGTGGCACCCAGGAGCTAACAAACTCTGAATCTGTTTAATTGCAGCCTGAATGAACTTGAGGCAGAGATGCTACTGGTTCTACCTGCCACAAGAGGCAGGATTGCTTTGCACTTTCTCAAGTTTCCCTCCAGCAAGCTCTAGGGAGGTGTGGGGAGTGGGTTGGGATGGGGCACATAGGAAATCCTACATCCTTGCGCAGAGACAATGACTTACGGGTGTGCAGATCTCATGATGCTTCCATAAACCACAAACTGAGTTTTTATGTGAAACCTCTTAACTTTTTCAGGGTTTGCAACAAATTCAAGTTTTCAAAAAACACCGTGCAGACTAAATGAAAGCTGTTTGGGGCCAGGTCCAGTCCTTGAGCCCCAGGGCCTACGAGTTCTCATGTCTGAATATCTGGGTCCCTTCCGCGGCAGTGTCAGAATCTTACCACAAGGTGGAGTGCCAGAGACACTCAGAACGACTTGGCTTAGGCATCCGTTTTGCTCCAAGACACTCGAGGACACACACACTGGGCAGCCTTTTGAAACCTGTTCTTCCTCTCCTTCCTTGTACTCACCTGCACACATGCAGGTACAGGTTCCATCACCCAGGATTTACAGTGCTCCTGCTCTGGGACCCAGGCCACCATCCTGGGATTCACTGCCAGGCCCTCAGTCCTGTCTGTCAGCTGGACCCCTCCCAGACTATGCCCTCAAACCACCGGTTGTGCAAATACAGAGAGCCAGTTAGGTGGGCGGGAGTCAGGAAGAAGCATCCTGATAAGTGTGAATATAATTTTCCAGGCTCCCTGTCCAGCCCAGTGAGGTTATGGTGGCCCCCTCCCCTCTATAGGGTGATGGAGGCTGCCTAGAACCACAGACAGTGGGTTCCTGAGAACACTTCGGCTAAGAAAAGCCTGGCACCTTCCCTGGCCATTTATGTCCACCTTTCTGCCTTTCTCTCAGCGGTTCTCAATCTTAGCTTCACATTAGAATCACCTGGGCAGTTAAAAAATCCTGGTGCCCAGGCCACACTCCAGACCAATGACATTCGACTCTCTGGAGGTCAAGCCAAGGCACTGGTACTTTTTAAAGCTTCCTGGGTGATTCTAATTTGAGCCAAGGCCGAGAACCTCATCAGCGGAAGTGCAGTTTTCAGGGGTGATTGAGAACATCTGCTTCCTTTAAATACGGCGCATCAAGACTTCAGAGCTGGAAGGAGTCTCTGAGATTGTCTGGATCAATTTCTATTAAATCTATGGAAGCTTTTGTTAAAACAAGTCTTAATAGAAAACATTTATAGGGCATTTGCTATGTGCCAGCCTCTGTCCTAAATGCTTGATGTGTATTAACTCATATCATATTAACTCATATCACCCTCTTTGAGGGTGGCACTATTATGAGGATGCCCATTTTACAGATAAGGAAAACTCACAGGTACACTGTAACTAGCCCAAGGTCATAAATCTACTTAATGATGGAGCCATGATTCAGAATCTGGGTGGTCTGGCTCCAGAGACTTCCAGGAACCTTTAGCCTGCTCTTCCTGTCTGGAAAGCCCAAGGCAGATAATAGAGCCTGGACCTCCTTGTCCAGGCCCTCCTAAGGCAGAGCATGGTTAGTGAGCTTCAGGTTGAGTCCAGGCTCCAGCCTCCTTCCTGTATGGATGATGAAACTGTGGCTCTGATAGGGACGATGACACGGCTGAAAGCCCTTGGGGGCAGCCAGGCAGAGCTAGGCTAGGAGCCTGGACCTGGGGCTCAGGGGGCCCGGAGGGCAATGACTTACTTCTCATTGTCGTAGTACAGCTTCCCAATGGCCCAGGCCACGATGATGGGGAAAGGCACACCTGGGGGAGAGACTGGCCGTCACAGGACCTGTTGGTAGGGTCTGGGGCATGCAGGGCCTAGAGGACCCCAGTGCAGCCCAGGGCCTACAGGGCTGCCTAAAGTAAAGCTCGAACTCACTCGCCCAACATGCCTCTTTCAAGATGTTGCCACTGTCCCCGTCCCCCAAGTAGGGGCAGATGGCTGCGGTGCACCCTACCACCCTGACCTTGCCTCGGGCCCTCAGGCCCCCAGCCAGCTGGTCTGAGTTGGGGTGAAGAGAGGATAGCCCCACCAGGGCAGGGGGCTGGCCTGCTCACCCCAGCCGATGCAGATGAACATCCACTTGCGCAGTCGGTCCGTGGAGTAGGTGAGCACGATGGCCGTGTGCAGGTAGCAGCCCTCGCCAAACATCCAGAAGAAGTTGGTCACGTGGAAGTAGTTGTAGGCGGCTGTCACCAACCTGCACCAGCCCTGCCGCCACCCCCATCAGAGGTGAGGATGAGCTGGAGCCAGGGGCAGGGGCCGGGGGAAAGGATGGGGGAGCAGAAGCAGCAGGCCACCCCGAGCCTGGGGCCTCCTCTTGGCAGGACGGGGCACCCCCTGGGATCCACTCCTGTTCCGTGGGCTCCAAGGCCTGGCTCCAGCCCCTCCTCCATCGGGGCAGCCCCACCAGGACTCTTCCTCTGACCCTGGGCCTGCCCCTCCGGGACATACCACGTTGCTCTGGTGGACTTCGGGGCTCATGGTGAGCTGGACCACGAACCACGTGGCGTTGCGCAGGATGAAGGCTGAGATGAGGTTCCAGTGGATGATGTTTCTCAGGCACCGGATGCTCCTGGGGATGGCCGGGGAGGGTGGGAGATGGGAGCAAGTGGGGGCGGTGGGGGAAGAGAAGGTGAGGGACAGGCCACCAGCATCACTGCAGCCCAGATGTATAGATGAAGGAACTGAAGCTCAGAGCAGGGCTGACTGACTAAGTCATGCTGGGAGGCGGCAGCAGTGGCTCTCCTGACATCCCGTGGGTCCCTTTCTAATTGTGGCCTGCCCAGACCTAAGCCACACAGCCAGTGTTGCAGGGACCAGAGGAGGCTTGCTTACTGGGGATGCCCCTTCTCCTGTGAGCACCTCTCCCTCCCTGTAGTTCCAGGTTTGAGGGTCAGAAAACATGAAGGGCCCCCAGTGAGATGCCTCCCTCTCAGCTTTCAGCCCTGATGCTCAGTCTCTGCTCCCACCTCCCATTCCTGGCACAGACCTGGCTGGCACTGCCACCTGCATCCTTGGCAGTCATGCTGGGACCAGGCAGGTTCAGATCCAAAGGGGCTCCACTTTTCTAGTCCCCCAGGTGGGTGCAGCCTGGCCTGGGGATGGGTGACACAAGGCGAGCCTGGGCTTTGGTCCGCCCTCCCCGCTGCAGTCACTGGGCAGGGGTACACAAATGACCCTGCCAGAGGTTCCAAGAGACCTGGGACACCTGCATCTGTCACCTCCTCCCACTGAGGTGAAGGGGCAGGACTCTGCCTTCCCAGCAGCCCCCCGCCTAGAAATGCTTCCTGCATCTGACTTCCTCACCCTGCTCAAGGCTTGGGTGGGGTGTAGGCCGGGGACTGTGCCAGGACCTCCTCACCTGAGCCGCAGAAAGAGAACAAAAGCCACCAGGAGGGCTACCAGGGAGATGCAATGGCCCAGGTAATTGATGATGACAGCAACGTGGTAGTGTATCTTGCTCTTCTTCTGAGGCGGGAGAGAGGGGTAGAGGTGAGGCTCCTGCACAGCTGCCCCTCTGTGCCCACAGGATGTGTGAGGACAGCCCCCATGGGTGCCCAGGACTGGTGAGCAATAATAACAATAGTTACCCCTTCCTGAGCCCCTGTTATAGGTCAGGTGTTGCCCTAGAGCAGTGCCGATCAATTTGAGACTGCCCTGTCTGTCTGTCTCTGAATCTCATGCTCTGTGCGTAGCTCCGTGCTGTTGGACAAATATCAGTCAACTTGAATCTTCCCATCACACAGGGTTCCCCACTCTGTGTGCACAAATGCACAGGCATGGCTCACAGATGTGCTCTCACACTTACATTTCCATTCAGTCCAAACACCAGGTAGTCCCTGTGAGTGCAGACAGCAATGCTCCAGGACTTCTTTCCTGCTCCCATCTCTGAGTTGAGCCACCATCTTCTCAATCACCCCTTAAACCCCCCGCTGAGATTAAAGTTGCTCCTATCAGTGAGGAGGAGGAAGGGCGGTCGCTATGGACTAGCATCCACAGAATCGTTAGAAACCATAAAAAAAAACCAAACCTCTCTAGGCTCTATAACTCACTTCTCAGGTCCTACCCCTGGCCCAGGCAGTATGCCCGAAGCCAATGGGGTCCTCTCCCAGGCCTAAAACGAAGTCCCCAATGTTATTACTTAACTCACTTCATATACTGATGGAAGCTGGGAAACGCTGAGGTCTCCTCTTTCCAATCAATGTTCACTCCCCGAGTGCCGATGCCTTCCTGTTTACAGACTATTTTCATATCTGTTGTCTTCTCAAACCCTCAAGACAATGCCAGTGGAAGAGCTGGTGTGGGGATCTGTATCTTATTTTGCAGAAAAGCAGGCCCAGAAGTACATGGACTCATTCCAGTTCATTCAACTTCTTGTGTCTTGAACGTGCTTTACCTTCGTGTGCAGATTGGCAAGGTGGATGGATCCCCACCCCATAATGGGGGACCAGTGGTCCCCAGTGCCCAGATCTCTGCAGACTCCTGCCCCCATGGAATCAAAGGCCTCCTTCACCCTTTTCTAGGTCCTGAGAGGGCAGAGGCTAGACAGCCAGGGTGTGGCACACGGTGCAGCACCAGAGCAGAGTGTTGAATCCAGGATGGAAACATGGATGTTGAAAAGCCACTGGTATTGCCGTCTGAATTACAGAATCCATGGACATCAAAGCTGGTCCTGAGGGATCAAGTACAGGCCTACCCATCTTCCAGATGAGGAAACTGAGGCCCAGGTTCACCCACCTGAGGACAAGGGACACCTAGCAGACATCTGAGAAGGGGCGAAGCCTTCCCTCCCCTGCTCTCCCCAGCCCCTGCCACACCCCTTCGGAAGGGGTGTCCTCACCGAAGAAGCTCTGAGGCCCAGCAGGCCCAGCCAGCTCTGTTTTAGGGGCTGGTTTTCCTGGAAGAGGCTTTCAGAATCATGACAGGAAATCACATTAGCAGCTCAGGCTCTGAAGGGCTGAGATCCAGTGAGGTGTAAATGGAGGCAGTGGAGAGAGAGAAGCGGAGAGGGAGGGAGGGACAGAGGGTATCCACGTGTGTGGGGGGAGTCTCAGTGCCTGATGGCAGATGCCAAATCTAGAGACTCCAGCAGATATGAACACATCTAGCCGGTCTGGAGCTGATATTTAATTCCCTTTTATTAAATTTCCCACAAATCCATGCTGTGAAGCCCCTGGGCACTGAGTGGCTGTGGGGCCCAGATCCGTGTGATGCCCCGGCTTCACGAACAGGCCCAGGTGGGCGGGACGAGCAGAGGGCACGGGGAGGCCCTTCACCCTTCACTGCCACCTGCCGTCAACTGCCCCCCGCACCGGGGTCCTTCGGTTTGGGGTGGGATGTCATTTATTAAGCACTTATTGTATGCTGGGCACTGCGCCAGGGGCTTTCCAGATGTCATTGCTTTTCTTTCTCACAAGTGCCCTCTGAGACTGTCCTTCTGTCCCCGTTTTTCCAGTTGAAGAGGCTGCATAATCATTCCAAGCCACCAGCCAGCAACTGGAATCCAGGTCTGTTTGGCCTTAAAGACCCTCTTTCCTCTGTCCCCAAGGTACATTTCTTGGGAGACAAGCAGGGACTGAAAACAGAGGCACTCTCTTCATCCGGGGCCCAGAATTCTCCGGGAGCTTCTACTGGGAGGTTGGGGGCTCTTGAAGGGTTTTCTCCACCGAGGCTGGAAGGGGAGAATTGGGCCAAGCCATGCAGGGGGCCACCTCTGCAAGACTCCTGGAGCTGGAGGGTCCAGGCTGGGTCTCAGTCCTGCTTCTCACCTGCCAGAACAGTTGATGCAATCTGAGAGACGGCGAGCCACCTGGGGAGTTACAGTGCAGGGGGAGCCCAAGAAGACTGCTAGAGAGATGGTGGGGTCATCCCAAGAGATGACCGGCATCACCAGAAGAGACAATCAGCGACACTCACTCAGAGACACCATTGGAGATGGTCAGCAATACCCTGAGTGGTGGTCAAAGACACTTGGAGAGAACAGCCAGCAACATCCTAAGAGACACCCAGTGACACACCAAAA